GACTTCTTCCTTCAGTATCATCTGCTCTTGATAATATGATACTTCTTGAAATGGTTGAATATCAACCATTTCTTTTTGGTACAGCAACCTGTGTATTCCTCCCATCTCCATTTGATGCTTTCTGTATCATTAAATATTTTGCCCATAGAATCCTTTAGTGTTGTAAATTGAGGCTTGAATTTTTTTCTTTGCTTCTTTCTTTTTAAGAAATGCTGTGTGTGTTCTTCTCTTTTGGTTTTCTAACTCCAGGTCTTTGCATAGTTTGTTATAGTATTTGACTTTGTCTTCTCGAGCTGCCTTTTGAAATTTTCTATTCAGCTCTTTTACCTCCTCATTTCATTTATTTGCTTTAGCAACTCTACGCTGGAGAGCACCTTTCAGAGTCCCTTCTGACATTCATTTTTGGTCTTTTCCTTCTTTCTTGTCTTCTTAATGACCTTTTGCTTTCTTCCTGTATGATGTTCTTATGTCATCCCACAATTCTTCTGATCTTTGGTCTTTACTGTCTAATGCATCAAATCTGTTCTTCAGATGATCTCTAAGTTTAGGTGGGATATACTCAAGGTCATATTTTGGCTTTTGTGGACTTTTAAGTTTTTTCTCCAGCTTCAACCTGAACTTGCATCTGAGCAATTGATGGTCTGTTCCACAGTCACCCCTGGCCTTGCTTTTGCTGATGACATGGATCTATCCTACTGTCTCTTTCCACAGATGTAGTCCATTTTATTTATGTGTTTGTCATTTCATGAGGTCCATGTGTATAGTAGTCTTTTATGTTGAATTTAAAAAGTATTTGCAATGAACCAGTTATTGGTCTTGCAAAATTCTATCATGCAATCTCCAGCATTATTTCTATCACCAAAGCCTTATTTTCCACTACTGACTCTTCCTCTTTGTTTCCAATCACCAGAAATTATCAATATATCTGGACTGATCGAACAGATCAATTGATAATTATCAATTATCAATTGATCTGTTTGATCAATTTCAGACTGCAGAATTTTGTAGAATTTTTCAATTTCATCATCACTGGCTTCAGTGGTGATTGTTTCAATTTGAGTAATAGTGGTATTAACTGATTTTCCTTGTAGGTGTATGGATATTATCCTTTCACAGACAGCATTGTACTTCAAGACAGATCTTGATATTTTTTATGATGATGAATGCATCATCATTAATCCTCAAATTTCCATTCCTTGACATAGTAAGTCAAATCCAAAATGCCCAATAACAGTTCATTTCAGTTCACTAATGCCTAGGATACCAATGTTTATGCATTCCATTTCATTTTTGACAATTTCCAATTTTCCTAGATTTATATTTAGCACACGGTGCACAACAACTCTAGTATGATATGCTTGCCGTGGACTGGCCAATTGTTCAAAATCAAGGGGGCAACATTTGCCTAGGAACAGAGTTGAGCACGGATGAGAAGTTAGACAGAATGAAATTGGAACCATAAGAAGCAACTGGAATAACTTTTGTTGCATGTAGAGGATTGCAATCATTAAGATGAATCAAAATGTATGATTTGTTTAATGTAAAACTTATGATTTGTCTATAAACCTTCTTTCAAATCACAAGAAATACTTAAAATTAAAACAAAAGAAAAGAGTTAAAGAGATTAAAGTGGATAGAGATAAGTACTGTTAACTGATGATACATGAAGGCTAGAACTATGAAGTCTAGCTCAATCATGCTACCTTGAGCTCTATAAGAGTTTCTTCCAGCTTTGGGTGGATGTTGGTACTTCTTTTTTTTTTTTTTTTAACTCTTTATTGAGAATTGAGTGAAGGTATACAAAGCAGATCATTAGCTTTGCATTTAACATATGATATACTTAATTTCATTTCAATGGATTCAATCCCTTTCATGCGCCATGAGATAACAGTGTTTACCTATATTACCTTTAATCCTTTTTTTTTTTTTTTTTAAGTTTTTGTTGTGAATTATGTGGGTTTACATGGGAGAACATCAGTTTTACATTCATTCTATCATATTTCATTTCATTGCAATGATACAATCCCCTCCACGCATCATCAAACAACCGAAGGTTACACCACACAGGCCTGCCCCTTCCCCCCGCCCCCCTGTCCATGTCATCATCTCTGCCACCATTGCAGGCATCACTGCTTCCCTGGGTAGGGTCCTGCACTCCACTCTTCTCGCTTGATGGTCCCAGGGACCTCCGCTCCTGGACTGTAAAATCAATCACTCCCCTCCTTTTGTTACAAAACATCTACCTTTACCTTTCCGACCCTCACAGTCAGTCCTGATAGCAATTATTCACTATTGTACCACAAGAGTCTTATCCCCATCTCCTTTCATTAGCCCCATCCCAACAGATTAGAAACCATTCAGTGGAGATTCTACCTTCCCCCACCCCATCTGGAACTAGGCTTCCTCTTGAAAGCTTGTAAACCAGTCACTTCTTGCCTTTGTAACCCCCTCCCCCCTCATTTTGGGTAGCCAGTGTCTAAGTTGCCCAACCCTGTGTACCGAGGGGGGGGGAGTGATCCTCACTGTAAAGATTAGTTCCTTTTTTTTGAGCTACTACATGCATAAATAGCGTAGTGGTTATGAATCAGGCTGCGAGCCGCAAAGTCAGCAGTTCGAAACTACCAGCTGTTCCGTAGAAGGAAGATGAGGCTTTCTGCTTCCGTAACGGTTACAGCCTCAGAAACCCTATGCAGAGTCGCTATGAGTTGGAACCGACTCCACAGCACATAACAACAACAGCAACAACATCCATAAGTATAGGTAAAGTTCATCAAATTGTAGCAGGTTAATCTTTTTTTCCCTCTCCTTACTTCTTCTAGTTGAGTTCTGATCATCCAGCCATCGAAGCCAGGTCAAGTGGGTACTATCGGCAAATATGGGTGTTCTTGTGTATCTCCCCTCACTTCATATCAGCTGGACGCTTCACTCTCCGCTCTAGTCCTCTGTGGCCATGTCATTGCCTCTTGGCCCAGAGTTCCAGGTTCTTGCCATACTGCTGGCCAACCAGGTCTCCACCCAGGTTCACAGGAGTCTATTGAATGTGGTCAGACTTAGCTCCCAACTTCATTGCTGTTTCTCCCCCCTTCCCCTTATTGGTGACCAACGTGGTCACCAACCAGACCACATGTCTGCTCGTGTATTCCCCTTGAGTCATAATCTTGGAAGGGAGCTTGCTCTAAGGGGACCCAACCACTGGCCTTGATGACTCCCAGGTGAACAGCTTGCTTGTTCTTGTCGTAGTCAATCAGACTGCTGTTATTGTTTTTGATTTTTCCTGCCGGTCTTTCTTTCACCAAGTATCTTCTGTTCTTCTAGCTGCTCCAGGCTGGTCTACTTGTCCTTTCAAGGGGAAATTTCCCACCTCAGACAATTCTGGATGGGTTCAGGATTCCATCTATGGTCTTATGCAATGCAAAGGCTCCACACGAAGCCTCTTTCACTGAGCAATTTCTAGCCTACTTTAAGGTATTCCAATCAGTTATAGGCTGAAGATGGACTTTCTATTGTGATGTTTCTGGCTATTCCTTTCTCCTTCCCTCAAGTGTCTATTTTACAATGATTGTTGTTGTTGTTGTTAAGTGCCGTCGAGTAGGTTCCAACCCATAGCGACCCTGTACAGGGTTTCCGAGGGTGTAAATCTTTATGGGATTAGAAAGCCTCATCTTTCTCCCGCAGAGCAGCTGGTAGTTTTGAACCGCTGACCTTATGATAGGCAAGGGAAATAAAAATTCAAAAGACAGCCAAGCAACTTAACATTATTCCCCTCTTTTACCCATTCAAACTATGCCTCAATTCCTGTATCCCAGAGCCCAGTTGTTCCAAGGTTGTGCATACATCATCATTTACCCGTGACCCACTTAGCCCATGCAAACCTGCCTAACTGTTCTCTGATCTGCCTTGTTTGTTCCATTCCCCTCCCCCTTCTTGTGTATTGCCCCACCACCATCACCCCAGCACCCAAGCTATCCTGTGTCTATTCCCTACCCTGTGCTCTATATTCCCCTCCTTCCCTCTCCTCACCTCATCCCATTCATCTTGGTGATCAGCAAATTATTTTTCCCCCTTTTAAGGGTGGTTTCTTTTTTACTTTTTTCTTTTTTTCAGAGCTGTCAACAGAGCTTTATTCACTGGAAGCAGGCCAGCTGAGTGTCTCTGGGAGTTGCAGGTCCCTTAGGCCCTGGTCCCTTCTGTTTGGACCCTTGTGAAATGTGCAGTCTGCCCTCCCCAAAGCCAACGAGAGACAAATAAGGGGAATGTTGTGTTTGTGAGTGATGTGAGGAGTTAAAAAGGTACAAGTAGAAATGTGGTTATCCCTCCTGGGCTCCCTGTGGAGCTGGGGTGCCAGAGGTACTTGGTCCCAAAGCCAGGTGTCAATAAAGCTCCCTCTGCACCCTGCCCAAACTCCAGGGATGAACTCCTGATCCCAGCTTTTGGACCAGGTTGGGAAAGGGGGCCCTATGAGATCATGACAGACCTAAGTGGTGGTTCTAAGGGCACCTGAGAGATACACACCCAAAGCTTGCCAGACATAGGGGTTCTGGCTGAAAACAAAACAAGACCATTCCAATAACCTTGAGTTACCAAAACATCTAAATGGCCACAATGCTGTTATGTGTTGTGGTGGCAGAAAATGAGGATGAGACAGGAAGAGGGTCTGCAAATCCCCAACAGAAAAACCAGACCCAGAGGTGTAGCCCCAGAGCCTGGCATCTAAGTGGACCCTGGCTAGGCTGGTGGTCTCAAGTTCCTTGTATAGTGGCACACACTCACCCCGCTCAGTAGCACAGGGACCAGTGGGTAAGAAGAAACCATGTTAGCCTGCCCCTTCCTCCCCAGGCCATAGTGTAACAGAGTATCCCATCTTGCTGTCCTGGTGGTATGGCTTGGAGGCTTGGTCTGAGAGCTGTGGGGCCAGGGAGAAGGCTCAGGCCACGACCTGGGAGATCAGGTATTAATGCCATCCGTGAAGCGAAGAGGAGTAGGAAGCAGTTAGGGCACCTTCAGAGGTAGACATTGAGGGTCTGCAGGATGCCTCGGCGGCAGAGAGGGCAGTTGCGGTAGTGGATGGGGTGACACATCAGGATTTCAGTACAGGCCTGGCACAGGCATAGGTGTCGGCGGGGCAAGAGCAGCACCGTCTTGCTCTGATCCTGGCAGATGACACACTTCTTCCGCTCCTCCTGCTCCTTCAACAACTTCCATGGGTCTTGCCCAGCTACAGGCTCCTCCTCAGTGAGTCTCTCTTGACCCCGGGCAGCTGTCACTCTGACCTCCTCTTCTTCTGTCTCTGATGTGGGCACTGCTTCAGGAGGAGTCTCCTGTCCCCAGGTCCTGTCTGAGGCCACCCTCCTAAGGCCACCCTGGGGGGCCCCAGGGGCCCCTGCTCGATTTGGCCAGCTCACCAGCTGCAAGCTATGGCTCCAGACTCGGCGCCAGGTCTCCAAGCCCATCACTAAGTGAGACAGCCACACAAGATCCTCTTGGAGCCGGTGGTAGGATGGCCAGGCATGGAACTGACTGAGGACCTGGGTGGCCAGCCTCAGGGGGAGGTCTGGGTGCAACACAATCACCATGATTGCCAGCACACAAGCCAGCAGAACTAGACCAGTGAGATTGACAAACACAAAGCTGGCCAGGAGGCTGGCAGTTGAGGCTAGCAGCTCCAGTGCTAGCTGACAGGGGGTCCAAAGCAGGATGACCATGGCCACAGCACTGCTGGAAATGTGGGCCAAGAAGGCAGCCATCACATCTGTCATCCTCCACAGAGGCCCCATGACTGCATCCCACAGGACCAGCACCAGGGAGAAGAGGTTCTGGGTGCCGATGAGGCAGATGTTGACCAGGCTGTTGATCACATAGGCCACCAAGCTCATAGCAATGGTACAGATGTCACAGGCCTGGCGCAACAGAGCATGGCCACTAGAGAGCACATTGAGGATGCCCCGATGCAGTATCTCCCGGCTCCGCAGGGCCCCATGAGAAGCCAGATGCCCCAGGAGCTTCAGGCTCTCCAGGCCAGAGCAGCAGCTGTAGAGCAGGGTGCACAAGGCCTGCAGGCCTCCCAAGGTGAACCGCGCCAAGGCTTCAATCAAGGCCAGCAGTGAAAACAGGACTCCACCGCCCAAGTGCAGAAGTACCGTGTGCGGCAGGTTATAGATGAAGGCCAGGAGCCAGGCCAGGGAAGCCAGAAGAGAGGACACCAGCAGGAAGTTGAGGTCCAACACCAGGGTCAGCACATCCATCACCAGGCCCACTCCATTCACCACCAGGTACACAGCCTCCATGATTGGGCTGTAAATGTCCAGAAGGAAGTCTGGGGTGTGGGGTGTGTGTGGAGAGTCCAGCGTCAATATGTCAATGTTTTCACATGTAAGTATTAATTTGCAAGAGGAATGAGCAGTTTGAAACCCAGAGGGAATCAAGAATCTAGAGGGAGGGGGGCTCTCAGTAAAGGGAAAGATGCCCAGGTGCCGGATCAGGAGTTCTGGTTCGGAAGACCAGCTGCTTGAAGTAGAGGCCAAACATCACTATCGTGGACAAAAGCCCAGGCTGTAGAAGAGACTTCGGCTTTGCAGGTTTGGCAGCGGTATACCACGACTGGACAATGGATCAGAGCGGGAGGAAACCGGGAACGGATAGGCAGGACCGGGCCGGGGCCGGGTGGGGGCGGCGCAGGCTGGTCGCTAGCTTGCGGTCCAGCTACGCAGGTGCCCCTGTCCCAGGGGCTCGCGGAGTTCCGCGCCCAAAAGACGAGTGGAGAAGGGAGTCCAAGGGTAGTTTCTTTTTAAAATGTTTTATTGTGAATTATGCGATAGTTTACATGGGAGAACATTAGCTTTACATTCATCCTATCGTATATCATTTCATTGCTATGGTTACAATCCCCTCCATGCATCATCAACCAACCAAAGTGTATACCCTGCAAGCCTGTCCCCCAGTTGTCAGCACACAGCCTCTCTCCCAATCTGGGTCTAGAATCCCCAGCCACTCCATCTTTCCACATCATCGTCTCTGCTTCCACCTCGGACATCACTCTTTCTCTGGGTAGGGTCCCGCATTGCTCTCTTCTCCCTTGATGGCCCCAGGGACCTCTGCTCTTGGACTGCAAAGTCAATCAATCCCCTCCTTTTGCTACAAAATGTCTACCTTTACATTTACATATCCAACCCTTACAGTCAGTCCTGATAACAATTATTCACTATTGTACCACAGGAGACCTATCCACATCCCCTTTCATCAGCCCCGTTTAGACAGATTGGATACTACTCAGTGGAAATTCTACCTTCCTCCACGCCCTCTGGATCTAGGATCCCTCTTGAAAGCTTGTAAGCCAGTCACTTCTTGCCTTTGTAACCCACCTATTTTGGGTAGCCAATGTCCAAGTTGTCCATTGCTGTCTACTCTGTGTATGGAAGGGGAAAGTTCTTTTTCTTATTCTTTTACAGTAATGGTCCTATGCAGTATTTCTCCTTTTGTGACTGACTAATTTCACTCAGCATAATGTCCTCAAGGTTCATCATGTTATGCGGTAGCTTGCAGCTTCCTTGTTCTTCTTCAAGGTAGCATAGTATCCCATTGTATGTATGTACCACAGTTTGTTTATCCATTTTTCAATTGATGGGCACTTAGGCTGTCACTACCTTTTTGCTATTGTAAATAGTGTTGCTATGAACATTGATGTGAATATATCTACTCATGTTATGGCTCGTAGTTCTTGTGGGTAAATACCAAGTAGAGAAATTGCAGGATCAAAAGGTGTTTCTATTTCCAACCTTCTGAGGAAGCACCATATTGCTTTCAAGTGTGCTTGGACCAATTTGCAATCCCACCAACAAAGTAGGAGGGTCCCAGTCTCTCCACATCCTCGCCAGCATTTATTGTCCTCTACTTTTTTGATCTTTGCTGATATTGCTGGTGTTAGATGATATGTCATTGTTGTTTTGGTTTGCATCTCTCTAGGACCTCTGGTAATGTAGTGGTTATGAGTCAGGCTGCAAACTTTAAGGTCAGCAGTTCAAAACTACCAGCTGTTCTACAGGAGAAAGATGAGGCGTTCTGCTCCCATAAAGATTTATAGCCTTAGAAACCCTGTACAGGGTCATTATGCATTGGAACCAACTCCATGGCACATAACAACAACAACAACAACAATGGCTAGTGATTACGAATGTTTCTTTATGTTTGTTGGCTGCCCAGATCTCCCCCTTGGTGAAGTGTCTGTTCATGTTCTGTGCCCATTTTTTATTTGTTTTTTTTTAAAATCTTTTTCTTGTAGAGGTGTTGTAGTTTCCTATATATTTTAGAAATAAGTCCGTTGTCTGATGTGTCATTGTAAAAGTCTTTTTCCCATTCTGTGGGTTCCCTTTTTACTCTTTTGGTGAAATCTTGTGATGCACATGTTGTTGTTGTTGTTAAGTGCCGTCTAGTCGGTTCTGACCCATAGCGACCCTGTACAGGGTTTCCGAGGCTGTAAATCTTTACGGGAGCAGAAAGCCTCATCTTTCTCCTGCGGAACAGCTGGTAGTTTCGAACTGCTGACCTTGTGGTTTGCAGCCCGATTTGTAACTACTATGCTACCAGAGAAGTTTTGAAATTTTAGTATGTCCCAATCATCTATTTTGTCTACATTTGTTTGTGTAGTTTTCAAAATGCTTGGTAGTCTGTGTATTCTCTGAATTAGAGCCCTCACATTTGCCCCTGTTTTTTCATTGATGATTGTCATCATTTTGGGATTCACATTTAGTATAGGGTGTGAGGTAAAGGTCTTGTTTCAATCTTTTGCACATTGCTTTCCAGTACTGTCAGCACCATCTGTTACAGAGACTATCTTCTCCCCATGCAATATACCTAGGTACTTTGTCGAAAATCAGTTGGATGCATGTAGATAGGTTAATTTCTGGATTCTCGATTCTGTTCCATTGATCAATGTATCTTTCACTATACCAGTACCAGGCTGTTTTGAACACTGTAGCCATGTAGTAAATTTTGAAATCAGGGAATGAGAGGCTTCTAACCTTTTTCTTCTTTTTAAGCAGTGATTTGCTTATCCTGGGTCTCTTTCATTTCCATATAAAGTTTATAATTGTTTTTTCCATCTCTTTAAAGAATGTCATTGGATTCTGGATTGGAATTGCATTATATGTGTAAATTGCTTTGGGCAGTATTGCCATTTTCACAGTGTTGAGTCTTCCTACCCAGGAACATGGTATATTCTTCCACTTTTGTAAGTCTCTTTTGGTTTCTTGTAGTAGGGTTTTGCAGTTTTCTTTGTATAGGTCCTTTGTTTCTCTGGTTACATTTATTCTTAGATATTTCATCCTTTGGGTAGCTATTGTAAATGGTATTGCTTTCCTAATGGCCTCCCCCCCTTTTTGAGTGTTTTTTTTTGTGTGTGTGTGTGTGAATTATGTGGGTTTACATGGGAGAACATCAGTTTTACATTCATCCTATCGTATTTTATTTCATTGCAATGATTACAATCCTTTCCATGCATTATTAAATAACCAAAGGATACAACTCACAGGCCCGCCACCCCCCCCTCTCCTGGCTGTCAGCACACAGCTCCTCTCCCTCCCTGAATCCCATGTCCCCAGCCACTCCATCTGGCTACTTCATCATCTCTGTCTCCATGCCTGGCATCACTGCCTCTCTGGGTAGGGTCACGATCTCCACTCTTCCCACTTGTTGGTCCCAGGGACCTCTGCTCCTGGACTGCACAATCAATCACTCCCCTCGTTTTGTCATTAAACATCTACCTCTACATTTCAGACCCTCACAGTCAGTCCTGACGGCAATTATTCACTATTGTACCACAAGAGTCTTATCCCCATTTCCTTTCGCCTGCCCAGTCCCAAGAGATTGGAAGTCATTGAGTGGAGGTTCTACCTACTCCTGCCCCATCTGGAACTATGCTCCCACTTGAAAGCTTGTAAGCCAGTCACTTCTTGCTTTTATAGCCACCCTCCCCCATTATGGGTAACCAATGTCTAAGTAGCCCATTCCTGTCAACCCTGTGTACTGAGGGGGTGGGAGTGATCCTTGCTGAAAAGATTTGTTCCCTTTTTTGAGCTACTACATCTGTACGTATAGGTAAAATTCATCAAATTGTAGTGGGTTACTCTTTTTTTTTTATTTCTTCCCTCTTCTTTCTTATTCTAGTCAAGTTCTGATCATCCAGCCATTGAAGCCAGGTCAAGTGCGTACTATCTGCAAGAATGGGTGTTCTTGTTCTTCTCCCCTCACTTCATATCAGCTGGATGCTTCACTCTATGCTCTAGTCCTCTGTGGCCATGTCATTGCCTCTGGGCCCAGGAGTCCCCGGGTCTTGCTGTACTGCTGGCCATCCAAGTCTCCACCAGGGTTCACAGGAATCTGTTGAATGTGCTCGAACTTAGCTCCCAACTTCATTTCTGTTTTTACCCCCAGTTTCCCTTATCAGTGACCAATGTGGTTACCAGCCAGACCACATTTCTGCTGTGTATTTCCCTTGAATCTTAGTCTTGGAAGGAAGTTTGCTCTGAGGGGGCCCGACCACTTGCCTTGATGGTCATATTGTTTCGTATGTGTGCTTTTTTGCTTGTTCTTTTCTTTGGTTAGATTTGTCAGTGGTTTATCAATTATATCGATCCTTTCAAAGAACCAACTTCTTGTCTTGTTTCTTTCTTTTGTTTTACTGTTTTCTAATTCATTTACTTCTGCTCTAATCTTTCTTGTTTCTGTGCTTCTGGTGTCTGTAATCTTACTTTAATGCCCTTTTTCTAATTGTTGGAGATGATCTGTTAATATGTTGATTTTGGTTCTTTCTTCTTTTAGGGTGTATACATTCATTGCTATAAATTGCCTTCTAAATACTGCTTTTACTGTGTTCCAAAGGTTGTTTTTTCATCTACACTTGATTCAATAAATCTTCAAAGTTCATTTAACATGTTCTGTTACTTATTCACTGTTAAGCCGGGTATTACTCAGTTACTATATACTTGATTTTCCCCCCTTTTATCTTCCTATTGTTGATTTCTAATTTTACAGCATTGGTATCTGAAAAGATGCTTTGTGGTATTTCAATGTTTTAAAATCTATCAAGGCTTTCTTTGTGGCCTAATGTATGGTCTATTCTGGAGAATGTTCCAGTTGCACAGAAAATAATGTGTATTGTGTTGTTGGTGTTGGTACTTCTTGAATTGAGGTCACATCACATCCATCTTTGCTTTCCATAATCACATTACTTCTCTTTAGTTCTTATAAAGACAGTTGCCATAAGATTTAGGACCAACCCAGGTAATCCAGG